AACTAGGAGTGAAATGATAACTCTTAGGGCCCGTTTAGCGTTGCTGCCTCTACACGGTGCGGCGAAAAGTCGCAGTTTAAAGTCGTTTGGCGCAGAATTTCCCTAGCGGCGGCCGCGAAGTTGAGCGAAACGCCGGCCTCGGGTGAGGCCCTGCGGCCCGCGTTACCCCTCTGATTGTTTACTCGCGTACCCTCCATTCGATCCCGCCTTCCTCATTTCTCCCACCGAATCCTTGTCTCCTCAGTCATCACCTTCTTCTCGGCAGCAGGCTTCGTCGGTGCCATCGGAAAAGGGATCGCGTCTCCCAGAATTCGGTCACGAAGGGCGCTGCGATCAAATTCTTCCCAAATGTATCGCGAGAAAAGCAGAGGGGAGCGACAACGTGCGAAGGAGCGGACAACACAGCGAAGGAGCGGCCCTGTGTGAAGGACTCTCGGTAGGGAGAACAGTGGATCGTGGAAGAAGACAATAATGTGATGGTATGAATATTAAGGTGAAAATGCCAAAGACATCTGCTAAGCTTAGATCCTTGCAGCCAGTGGCCTCTCCTTCGCACATCGGCGACGGAGCTTGCTCGCTCCAAAGTGCTTCCATGTTTTCCTCCTCTCCTTTGCCCCTTCTGCTCTCCAATGGTCTCTCTCTTCTCCATTCTCCCCTTCTATGTAAGTTATTAGAACTGTTATTCTTCTATAAATTATATTCCGAGAACTATTATTCCCCTCTCTCGCTCCATTCACCCCTTCTGCTCTTCACTGTAAATATACTTTAATGAGGTCTTATTGAGAACTTTGTTGAACTCATCAAAAGTTGAAGAAGTTCCTTTCAAATTTTTTTGTAGAAAGAGTAAGAAAGGTTGGAGAATCCTTCAAGGGCATATGATTTGACCAAGAAACTCTCCCATTAACAAATTCCTAAGATTAGAAGCTTGATCATAATAAATAAAAGAAATGGTAACCCACGGTAATAATTATTTCTCAAATAAATTTCCCCTAAAAATTTCTTTTGCAAATAGGTAAGCGGATGTAAAACATACATTTCAATACTTAAAAGTAGGTTACAGAATAATATATTACAAAAAATATTACAGGTTTTTAAATAATGAATCATTTTTTATGACCAATTGAGTTTAGTTTGTTGCAAAAATTGGCTATACATTATATTCTAGTGAGTTCTCAGCACAATTTTATATGTATTTTCTATAAACACAATTTTACATGTATTTTCTATAAACAGTGGATAAAAGTCCAAAAGGTCCTATAAATCGAAGGGATGTATATGACTAATTGTTTCTTTTCTAAATGGAGACAAAACACAAAGACAAGCTTTCTTTCTTAATTGTGTGGCATGCATGTAAACTTCCCTTGTATTTATCACTTAAGCTTTTGGAAAATATGAAGCTCTGAATCATGGTATATTGCAGATGTTAAGGATTTAATTCATTTTATTTTGACTCCCTATATTTCAAATTATGGTCATTCATATGTCATTGTGGTTTCGTTCATTGTTTGTGATAATTACATGATGAATCAAGTTATGATACATCTTTAATGAATTTTGCTGAATTGTTTGGATGTTTTATTCAACTACAGCTTCAAGAATACAGTCCAGTTAAATGTTGCATGCTGCATTCACTATCAGTTAATATATTCAAGAATACATTCCATTTAATTGTTCCATTTAATATATTCTTTCATTTGCATGCTGCTCTCAACTTTGTTAATATGGATGGTTGTTTCATTCTCTGCGTAAGTCTGTATTTTTGTTATCACTATTAGTGAAGCGTTGGACAAATTTTTTTGGAATATGGAACTCCACTTTTTCTGTGAGAGATTCAAAAACATCATTATTATAATGTGGCTACAGTGAATTTGTATCAGCTCAAGGACTCACTCTCAAATTCTCACAATAATGTTGGCTAGCCTTTTTTGGGGACTTAAGGACTGCATGTAAGTATAATGCTAGGAGTTTAATGGCAAACTATAGACGTAAGTTTTGTAATACTTTCTCAGAAAATCACAACCAGCCATTCTTTCAATGTAATATGTTATTCTGGCTACTTGGAAATTTGCTTTGTACACTACTATGGACAGCTTTGTCAGCCGAAAGCTTTGCTAATCATCCTGCTGACAAATATACTACATTCTCTTTAGGATATAAATTCTAACAATCCTTAATCTTTTATCTCACGTTTTTCGCGGTAATGACAATTGTCTAGTGTCTTGCTTATTTGTAGTTGACCTTTAACGTTCTCTTTGTTTGTAGCTGTAAGCAAGTATTTTTTTTGTCTTATGGAAGATATCTAATTCTTTGCTCGAGAGCTATATATTTTGCACTAGCTTTGAGAGCTTTAACAACTGGAATAATATTCAATTCTATTTGACATTTTTTCTAAAGCCTTGCAACATAAATCATCAAGACAATTTTTATTTAACTAAAATTTTAAAATAATTGCTTTTCTTATAAATTTTGTTTTGTATTTTTGTACACTTTGCTTGCTATCTTGCTTCAATTGTCCTTTTTATTTTTTAACTTTAATTATGTACTTGAGAGCCTCTTGAATTTTGCCTAATTAATTAGTCTCATGGTAATCATTTTTTTAAATCAACAAAGAACTTGATGCTTTTTTTATGCTATAAGTCTTTTTTATTAATTATGTTATACGATGAAATTGATATACATGTGAAAAGGAAATCTTTCTTAGCACTTTTGGTACTCACTACTAAGTGAGTGATGTATTCATACTTTTGTTATGTTTTCAAAAATGAATTTCTTCTTCTGAATTATCAAATACGTCGCTGTCATAATTCTGTTTTAAACAGCTTCACTAAATAGGGGCAGAATGGTCATTTTTTCGAGAATAACTACCCCGCAGCTGTTCTCACACAGCTGCAACAAACAGGTGCCCAGCTTCCCCATAACAGCTTCCCCGCAGCAGCTTCTTGGTGCAACGCAGCTGCAGCTGCGCCAAACAGAGCCTTAATTAGTAAATTTTGATTTTATATTGTATGAATAACATGTCTAAAGACTAGTGTTTGGAGGTATGTTTATAAATATTTATATTAATTTCAATTTTTGAAATTTAAAATTCAAATCCTTAAAATTTTAGTATTTCAATTTTCAAATATTATATGTGAATAATATAAATTTAAATATCATATATTTAATTTCTTAAAAATGACAAATAAAAATAATTTGAAGCCTTGAATTGGTCGGTTAAGAAAAGTTAGAGGAGGTTTTATGGTAGTCAAGCTAGTGGTCAGCCCCCTCTTTCTCTCCCTCCTTTTGTGCACTTTAAATTTCCCATATAAAAATATATATAATAGTTGGAGAATGAATAAGGAAGACTTTTTATCGTGAGAAAAAGATTTGGAGGCATTCCAAAGGACTAGATTAGGCTTGACAGCCATCTTCTCCAAGGAAATAGGTTTGGTGGCTTCTTTCAACCCAACATAATTTGATGAGTTGAAGGAAAATTATCTTATATGTAAGGTATGAAATTCATGACGTAATGTAGCTCATCCTTCATCACTTTTAAAAAAAAAAAAAATCATCACTTAAGCCATGAAAAACTGACCTAATGTTGTTAGCCAACACTAATCCCCAATAGGACCTAATCTTTTTCCATAGAGCAATTGGAAAACCAATTCTCATTGATAAGTAGAAAAAATCTCCAAATATATACTAGAAATTCTCATATTTAATGTCCACATATTTTTAGTCCAGTTCCCTATTTCTAACCCCACTTTCCAAAGCCAAATTTCCCTTATAAAACTAGCGCCTAGAATTTCCTCCTAACCTTGTTGTTGATTAAAATCCAAAATAAGAAGCTCTCGAGAGCACATTTAGACACATTGCGTTGATATTTTCAATAGTTTTTATGACAAAATATCCAACAGATTCTTCACACTAAAACCGTAAAGCCGGAACTAGGGTTTTTCATAGTTAGGGCTATCTTTTCTTGGCTGACGCTATTCAATCTTATAACCTTAAGTTCACTTACTGATCAACTCCACTAAAATCTAGATATTCTTTTTTGCCTTCTTAGGAAGAGCTCCAAACCCTAAGTGACTTGCATCAAGAGATTCAACCCTAAGTCATACAAAAACAATAAAAACACCATCTCCTCACCATAGCATGCCATGTGGGATGATTTGTGTAACTCTGATGCAATGTTAAGTGCTAACAGCATCGTTATGTTAACAATATTTCCACTTTAAGGCAAGGATTTGGCACCCTATGTAAGGCATCAAATAAGACATCCAATAAAGCATTCAATCACCCAGACCACTATGCACTATGTCTGGACCATATTAGTTATGTACCCACAAATCTTTTATCAGTTAACATGGGATTAAATTCAACATTTTCACATGCTTAAAACAACTTCCCTTCACATGTGAACATCAAATCAGCCTACACTCCCTTCATATTGGATTTTCTTAGTATAATCAAGTGCCAAGCATCAAGAGCCCGCATACCCACATCGAGTTGACATGGGACTCATTTCTTGAATCGCTCAACCATTAAAAGACAGCAATACCATTGGAGTTGGAAATCATATGAACTGCTTCATCCTAATAGAACCATATGCTTGAATACCACTTGCTAGAGGATGTGGACCAAAGAAAAGCTCAACAAAAATTTTAACCCCAAAACTTCTGCCTATGTTGATGGCTAATCAAAAGTATTTATCTACAAAAATATTTTTTTAAAGATATAATATAGAACTCAAAATTTTCACGAGTGACTGGCCTTTTGGCTTAGCCCATGTGCTCCCCAAAGCATAAACAACTTTCAATTTCAACCGTGCACATCCAAGTAAGTACTTGTCTATGTCATCCTTATTAATGCCAACTTCTAGCAGAAATTTAAGGACAACTAGGCATGAGCATATAAAATCCGGATTAGACATGTTCACGCTCACAACTACCTCGTTTAAAAACATCGCAATTCTCAAAATCAAGGTAAACCCTAGAATAAGAGGACGTGGAATCCCTTACTGCAGAAATCCAATCCTCGTGGCTTCAACAAAAGAGATTTCATTGATCTGCGACGTCGATATCCATGGCGTCGAGTTATACCGACGGATCTCGTATCCATCGCCTTCATCTATCACGTCGAAGCCCGGGCATTCAATGCGTTTGCACGTCGGCGGGAAGACTCCAATGGAAGACGAAGGCGACGATAGGCCTGGGGTTGAGAAGATGAGGAGGAGAGTGAAAGGGAATAGATAAGGCAGGATAGAGTGAGGGGACATGGCCATTGAGAATACCAGCTGGGGAATGGAGCTGGAGCTAAATAGTTAACCAGGTCATTGAGAAAGGAAGATGACCTTAAAATTCGAAAGAATTACAGAGGTGGGACTGATCCCCTGGAATACTTCCCTTATGAAGATGAAACAACTCCAAAAAAATAATTAAAAAAATAATTTTTTATGGAAATAAAAATCACTAGAATTTAAAAAAAAATGCAAAATAATAGAGTTAGATGGGAGGGTTCACCCTCCTAAAATCAAATAAATGTGGCTGCCTCAAAGGACAGACCTCAGCACATCTAGACAGCCAACCACGGGCAACCATCGTGATGCCCGATGGTTGGTCGTTCAAACGAATATAACGACAAAACATCTCAAATAGAGACAACAATTAAAATAAAAAAAATAAATAAAATCAATTTCAAAATTAAATCAAACAAGCAAATATCAATTAAAATGCTCTCTTTCATGCGTAGTCTTAGCTGTTGTTAAGTGAATGTTAATTAATTTTCTGAAAATTTAAACACTTTATTAGACGATGTGTCTTGATTGCCTTGATTATATTCTTTAAGCTTTTAAATTTTTAAGGACATCATAATTAACAACTTTATGCTTGTTGGATTCCTCTAATTAAAATCCTTAGTTTGCCAATAAGCTTATAAGATTTGAATTATCATTTGCCCCACAAATATTTTTGTGAAATTTTTATATTATCTATCTAGTGTTTTATTTAGGACTATTTGGGCACAAATTAAAATGCTTTTGATATAGTTGTGTTCATCTCATCAAAATATTTATGTTGGCCATATAATTGCGATAAATGTAGTTTGAATCTTTTTAGATTTAATATTAATAAAATATACTTTATATGCTTTGACAGAGATTTCTTTGGCGGTGGTGCTTTGATGGAGAGACACGTGGAGCTCAAGAGGGTAATGGAGAGGAACAAAGGCACGTGAAGGGCTTCAAATAGGTTTTGAATTTTTTTTTAAATATAATGGAATTGCCCGTTTACTCGACAATCTTGTTCGTGTGGGTCGATATCGATCCACAATTGTAATATGTCATGCCAATTTGGTCTATCAAAAAAAAAATTTAAGCTAATCGATTTATAATAAAAAATTTAAAAATAAAACTATTTTTAAATTTTTGCCTATATATATATATATATATATATATATATGTGTGTATACAACCATAAGTGTTTCACATCTTACAACTCTTACAAGTTATCTTCATATCGGTAACGGACAAGACTAGAATTCTTTTTTTTTTTTTTTTAAAACAAGTTGGGAATGAAAGTAATAAGAATCTATTCTAAAAACCACGCTTGAATTTCCTTATGAAAAGTAAAGGCAATGTTAGAAGAATCTCCATTCCGCAAATTTGTTAATGGCGGGTATCATTGTGCGCAACTTTTCTTCTATTTTGGTTGGGTTTATTATACTCTTTACTATTGCTTTTTAAGAGACTAAATGACAAAACATTGTAGCAACTCTTCCCACTTTATCTACTAGGGTTTCACAGGAGGTGTTTTGCTACATGTGATCATCCATTTATGGCATAAATAATTTTGCAGTTTGATTTTGATATTCTTGACATAATCAATACTTGATTTGGTCTATAGATTTGATTCAAGATAATTTTTCTTCTTTCTTAATGTTTAACCACCATTTTATAGAATACTTTCTTGATAAGTAGAGTCTATTATGAGTGTCGCGTCCAATAAAAACACTCTATATCCAAATCCATTTAATCTGACATTTATTGAAAAATAAAAGAAGTTTTGCCTTCAATTGAAAAATTAGGGTTAATTTTTCTTATGTGGAGAGAAGAGATCACCCGTAAGGAATATGTATTTTTAACAAGTTTGGGTGGAATAACAATCTCGACATTAAATTTCACCCACCACATATAGAGCCAATTGGCAAACTTCTAGATAATGATTTGTAGCTTTAACATAGTCATCCATGAATATTTTTTTTCTTTAGATTAATAATATAAAAAGGTTTTAATCATTATCCATGTAAACACCCGACCATTAAAGGATATCAATCCATGGTTTCAAGCTCCTTTTATATAATAAACTATTACTTTGTTTCGAAAAAGAGTTGTTATGTTCATCATTATTGTATTAACTTTAGCATATTGTAATAAGATTAAAATTGAGAGTCGTTTATATTTCTATCATAACACTCTAGAGAAATGAATTATTTCTCATATGTATTTCTATTAGTGTCCATGGGAAGTTGATTTGTAGTTCTCAGGAGTTATCTCAAGGATAATTTCTTGGGTCATTTAATAAAGCTTTTTTGCACTATTTTATTTATATCTTTAAAATTTTTAAGAGATGACTTGATGGTTCTTTTTAATATTTGATAAGTGATTTTTTCTAAGGATATGTGGTGTCATTTTTAATTTTGCTAGAAGTATTTCTTGTGAAAATTCTTTTTTCTAAGAGGAGTTTCCTCCATGATTGGTATTTATGGGGGATCATTGGATCATTTCCTTTCGAGTTTATTCACCCCTAGTCCTTGTAAAAATTCATGAGTAAAAAAATTAGGTAGGGAATTAGTGGTTTTAGGAATTCATTTTATATCAAAGTAGGATAATTAACCTTGCCAGTTGACAAAGATTTATTTTGTAGCATGACTGTCTTGCATCTCATTGGATGATGGAATTTACTCCATTGCAATCTATGCATAATAAAAAATTTTAGTTGAGTAAACTAGTTTGAAAATTTTTTGTAGCATTTGATTATGGAAAGCATCTATTTTTCACTTACTGAATACTTTCATTGGGTGGAAAACCAACTCCTTAATATATATCAAACAAAATTCTTCTTTAAAATTGGTGGTAGTTATGTCTTTAAGAATACCTTTGTATCCTAAATTAGTAGCTATAGTTATAATTTCTTTCTTAACTAGCTAGTAGTATTTATAAGATGAATATATGATAAAATTTCTTACCCTATGTATATTTGTTTGAACATTTTTAGTGTGTTTGTTGGTACAAGTTGAAGGATTTTTTATTAAGACTTCTAATAAGTGTGGTAGTATCATCTTTATAATTTTGATAAAACCAGCAATGAAATAAAGTAACCCTATAAATCGTTAATGTCAATCGAGTTCCTCAATTATATCTAGGAAATTTGAATCAAAATTGATGCTTCTATATATCAAAATTACAGTAGCAATAGACATTAAAAATCCTTAAAAAAAAATTATGCCATTTAATTTTGGGGTAGAAATGATAAACTCGTTTTTTTTAATAGTCATATGAATGTGTCAAGATGTTTCATTAATACTTTTTTAAGAAGATAAGAGAATTATCAATGCATATAATAATATTTGTAAGGATTAAAATTAACATTTATAAAATTCAAGAATTCAAAGGGTGTGTTTTGAAACTAAAAGATATGGCATTCCATTTATGATGACATAATGAAACTTGAAATCATTTTTATATTTGTATTTGCTAATATTTAAATTTTAAATAATTATTTTTTAAAATATAAAAAACCTCTTCAAGGTGATTAAATAAAATTATTTTTCTAGAGATAAAATGCTAAATTCATTTTAAAATATTATTCAATAGTTTATAATTGATTATAGTTTTTATTTTCCACATTTTTGGCCAAGTTCATTACATAAATGATGATGCAGCTCTAAGGGGAGTAGGGTTTTTTTTCTTATTTTTCATTTTGATTAGAGAACATTAATATTATTTTTGCAAATCATAATATCTTTTTATTCATTTGATCAAACCAAGCTTTTGTTTAACTACTTCCCTCACTAAAGACTTCTTCATATAAAAGAAAAATGCAATTATTATTTTTTTTTAATAAAAGACTGATTAGATTTTTACCATAGATAATATCTTGGTAATTTTTTCAAAAAAAAGAGATTTTTTCTCTCGAATTTATAGCAAGTGTATCTGTTTTTGAATATGCACATGATAATCAATGTAAAAAAAAAAACTATTGAGTTTATTGATGTTACGAGGAGTAATTTCATTGGGATTAGCAATAAATTGGAAAAAAAGGTAGGGGCATATTTAGAAAAAAAATATTTATTATTTTTTTTCTAAATTTTAATTATTTTTCATGTTACCAACTACAACCTACATGACTCACAACTCACACAACTCTCAACTCCAGTCTCTTCAACCTACAGACGTTATTGTAACTCACTATTACGACATATGTGATCGACTACAAGCTATAAGATTAATAACTCATGCAGCTCCCAACTCTGACTCATATGACCTCTAGACATTCTTCCAGCTAACCATTATAGTTTATATGACTAACTATGGCCTGCTTGGTATACAACTCATGTACCTCCTAAGTTTGGCTTATATGGCTACAATGATTATTACGACTCAACGCTATGACTTATGTAACCAATTACGGCCTAGGTGGTCCATAGCTCATGCAACTCCCAAATCAAGCCTTCATGGTCTAAGGATGTTATTATGGCTCACCACAATTGCCTGCATGACCAATTATGGCCTTCATGATTCACAACTTTTGTGGCTCCCAACTCCCGTCTCTATAGCCTACAAATATTATTGGAACTCACAAATACGACCAATGTGACCTACTACAGGCTACATGACTCACAACTCATGCAGCTTCAACTCTAACCTTTGTGGTCTACAAATATTCTTACAACTCTCCACTATAGCTTACGTGACCAACAACAACTTATGTGGCTCATAGCTCATGTGCCTCCCAACTCCATATGCTATGGCTTAAGAACATTACTACTTCTTGTCACTATGGTTTATGTAACCAACTATGACTTACATGGTCAACAACTCATGCGACTCTCAACTCCAACCATTATGGCTTATGAACGTTATTGCGGCTCATCACTATGACCAACGTGACCAATAACGACCTATGTGGTCCATTACCACATATATCCCAACTTCGACCTTTATGGCCTATAAATGTTATATCATCTCACCTCTACATTCTATGTGACCAACAAAATCCCACTTGGAACACAGCTCTTGTAGCTGCTTACTATAGCCTTTGTGTCCAACCGACAGTTCTTACGCAATCATCCATGGCTTATATTGAATACTACCATGAGTTTCAATTACGACATCTAC